GGTTGTTGTGGCCCAAGGGCAGCCCCTGGCATTTGGCCTTCTTGAAACTCCTACAGATGGCCTCAGCCCATGGCTCCAGCCTGTCCAGGTCTCTCTGCAGAGCCTCCCTCGAGCCGATGATTAAGTTGTAAAAAGTTCATAACTATCGTAGTAAGACCAGAAGTATCAATGCAGGTTTAATTAAAGCGAGCTGCGCAGCAAAAAAGAAAATGCATTCATTATATGTGGCTGGCAAATGCCTAGAAAGTTAATATGCAGAACACAAAAGCAGAACAACGGAAAATTTAGCTTTAAAAACCTGTGTGGTTTCTTGCGCACAGCTACCCTGCTTTTGTGAGGCAGTGTAACATGATCACAGTAAACAAAATGCTGTTATTTTACTAATGAAGGATAACAATTTTCTGTATAGAGAATGTATGTATATATTTCCTCTACAAATTAATAACTCACAGACTTCCTGCGCTAATATGACTGGTCAAAAAATAAACTTTAAAAAAGTAATAAGGTCTACTAAAATCATATAAACAGAAACAACATGCATCAAGATTAGTCAACATCTCACATTTTCTGTAACTATAACCTTTTTATTTCCCCAGAAGTACATACTACTGTCTTCATACCTATAGTCCCTAAGCACTATGCAAAACATTGAAGGAAGCTCACACACTTTTGCCCGAAGTAGAGGAAGGTCCTCTTTATACAAAGGCAATGAACAATCTTTTTATTTGCCGGTAGTTGTCACCTATTGGCAAGTATCCAAGACAGGATAAAACTGATGCCAGCTGCATAGTTTTCTGAGATCAGAAAGTCTGTGAAATGGAGTATGTTCTCCTACTTACACAACTTTGTTTAGTAGAACTTATTCTAGAGGTCCCTTTTAGGAAATATGGCAACCAACTTAAACACATCTCACCCGTTTGAGCAAAATTCAGAGGTATTAAATGTAATTAATATCCACTGCTATAGAAGAATCACCGCATGACACATGGCCTAAAAGTAGGCTGAGTTTATTTATAAAAATAAATAAAAATAATAATTTAAGAAAAAATGGGGTGGAGTGCAGAAAAGAATGACCAGCATTAGAAACACTGAATATGCAAAGTTGATACTTCGTGTCATGTTTGAGACCAAATTGACTGTATGGACACTAAACACACTGAGGATTTGGACACCAGAACACTTCTAGTCATGGATACATTTAACGGTAACCAGTGACCGCTTCCTTCCACAGGACAGATCCAGGAGAGAAGGCAGGCAGCTCAGCCTAACAGCTCCTAACATGATCCCCTGTGCACTGCAGGGGAGGGGACACCGTCAGTGAGAAAGCCAGGTGGATCAGCACAGCAGTTCCAGCTGTGCAATGTGCAGCCTCAGGGCTCCATGGGGTCCCCTCATCAAAGCCCTTGGGCTTCCCCAGAGCTTCTCTGGGGGTCTTGTTCCACATTCTCTCTTTAAATGTTTTAAGATTAGTTAACTTGGAGAATTGACAGAGAACTCAATGAAATAAAGACTGTTAAATTACAACAGACATAACTAGCGCTGCAACAGAGAGGAGCAGTCTTTCCTCCCTCTGCCTCTTCTGTTTGTGTCTCACCCCCTGAGTTCATGTAGGTCTTCACTCAGAAGAATAAACTGTCTTAAGGCACTAATTCTACTGAAAATTAATGCAGGAAAAATTTTTTTTCTTTTTAATAAGTTCCCCAACCATTTCACCATGCAGATCTGTATGTCTGGGGTCACTGTGAAGAAATGAGATACTTCTTTGAGCAGCTACTTCTACTTGTCAGGTTAATTTCTGGTCAAACTATAGCCTGATTTCAACTGCTCAGATAGCTCATACCACCAAACACCACAGACAATAGCATTTATTATTTACTAAAACACCACAGATATTAAAATTTTTTACACCGTTACAAAGAGTATTTAATTTCTGTTCTAGATATACATTGACTGTTTTAGAAAACACAGCATCTAATAACTCCCTCATTAATTTTCTTTGACAGAGCACCTAAATGATAAAGAAAAAATAATATGCATCTGTTTCCATTAAGTGCAATGATCAGAATTCAAAGCAAATGCAGAAATGCAATAAACTTCCCATCTGACATTCTTGCAGTAATTTTGTACGGCAGGGATTTCAGATCAAATACTGGATTGTTATTATGTCCATGAGGTATTCACAGGAAATCTGTCATTTCCATTTTATGTTATGTAGCAACCATGGAACAAATACACTTTATGATTCAGTTACATACCTTTTGCTACGCTACTTTCACTTTCCTACATAAACATGTCTTCATGCTTAAATTACTCAGATCAGGAAAGAATCACGTGTATGCTCTTGGAATTTATCCACCACACGAATATGAAGATAAGCTTTCATTCAATCTGCTATTCTGTTGAAATCAGTCTCTAGAAAGAAGGGAAAACACAATATTTAAATGTAATTATTAGCATCCAAACTAAAGATCGGGGCTATGAGTTCCATCACTATACCATTTGGACATTTAAAAAGAAGAGTATAAGAATGGAAAGCACAACAAAAAGAAGATGACTCACTCATGTAACCTAACCATACCGAAGGTAAAGACAGAACAGTCTGCATCCCAGAACTCTTGAAAGAGCTAGTACTGCAAACAAAACTTAACTGGAACTGCAAACAAACTTCATTGAACTAGCCTCAGAAATCATTATGACAAGTACCAGCAGTTTTAATACCAGAGTACAAAAAAGCTGGAAGGAGAGAGAAACTGACTGCAGCAACAAGGAATCCACTAATAAGACTTCAAATGAGACAAAGCTTTAAAAGCTAAAGGAAGAAATAGTCAACATTTAAAACAATAAAAAGCCCACAGAAAATGACATGTACATTTAAATTTTATTTTTAGATAATCTTGACTTTTTTGACAGAAAAAGTTCCTTTTTTAACATTAATTGCTCCCACAACTCTTGTACCAAGACACTCCTAACTTTCTTCATTAAGTTTTTAATGGGAAAAATAGTTGAATAAGTCTCAGCCCACTTACCATAACTTCAACAACAGTTTTGGAATAACTATTCAAGGTAAAGGAAAAGCAGCTGATCTGACCTATAGGAAAGCTATTAAAATGTGCAATACTATTTCAGAAACAAAGTGGCAAAACATACATTAGTACAAGTATTTTAAGATAATCTAATAGACTCATGTGAAGCCAACAATAGACACTACTGACAAATGCTAGCAGAAGGGTTTTTTAATGGATCAGGCATTGTATTTAAAAACGTAAGTCTAAATTTACGTTGCAACACAAAGCAGGACTATGTTAACAGAAACTTGTGATGACAGTCAGCAACATCAGTAATTCAAAGGAAAACCCAACTGTTGTTACTCAGAAAGACAAAAGTACTGATTTAATAGAGAAAAATAACTTTATTATCATGGAATGTAAGAGCATACAGTTAGGAATAACAACTGGAGCTATAAACTGGGAACAAATAAGGGCAAGACAGAACTAATTATAAAAACAGCACAGGATCACTACAAATTATTACAAGTAATTGTATATAAGTAACAAGAGCATGAAAGAATAACACAATTCCCAAGTGTGCTGTATAAAACTATTAGGACTATTACATGTTGTAGTAGAGAAACATTTACCCGTTAACATCAAAGTACAGGAAAACAGGCTGCATCCACCAGAAGCAACACCTACTGATGCCCACCCACGTGCCACCTTAACCAGCAGCATCTCTTTCCACAGTTTCCCTTGCAACACAGTCGTACAACTGTTTTGCCCTTTCCCTACCTAGCTGGTCACAGCTGGCCTCATCCTGAGCAGACACAACCAACCTCCTGCCACCAAAATCACTCCACTGGCTTTCTAGCAGCCTTGTGTTGGTCTGCTGTCTGTGCAAGGTGGGAAGCAGCTGCCACTCAAAAGCATCCACTTTAAGCACTCTGCACCCAGAGCGGCTACAACCCGGGCTGCCTTCCGTCCAGTTAGTAAAAGAGAGGTAGAGAAAAGACATCAGAGCAGCCCTATTGCAGGATAAATGCAAGATATAGGAGGAAGCATAGGGTGGGAGAAAAGGAAGGAAGGAGCTGTGGTCTTCTGCTGATGTACAGCACACTACACTTATTTAAACAGACACAAAACCAGTGATACATAAACTACAAATTAACTCTAGTTTGTAATAATGAAGGAAGGGAACATTCGCTATCTGTTGCACATGCTTCGGAGGACAGAAGTCAGAAGCCCAGCTTCACAGGCAGCAGTGGAGTGCTGTATATTTTCAGGGGCTATCCGAACCAGAGTCCCATATTCGACTACAGAGCACTCTGACGTCCGCGACTCCTCTCCAAATATTCTCACAGCCAATGCATAAGAAACCTACCCCATCCCACCCAGACCCTGGAAATGCACTGACAGACAGCCGCACCTCCTCCTCTACAGGGAGCAACAAAGGGAAGAGAGAGCAGAAACCGCCCACTCTCCCCTACGGTTCGGGCCAACACTTCCTCCAGACGACCTGGAAGGTTCCCCCTCAACCCCCAGAGAGGCGACACCGCCCCCTTCGCCGCTGGGAAGCCCGGGCGGCCGCGGCTCCCCGGTCCTGACCCGCTTCCCTCCCGCCTCCGCCGCGCCGGCTGCCGTCGGGCAAATCCGGGCAGCCAGGCAAAGC